AGCCTGCGAAGACGAGGCAGGTTTCACGCGCTGGCAGATCTCGCAGGTGCGCACCCACTAACGCACCCATTTAGATAGGTGGGGTCAATAAAAGTCGCGTGACACATCAGCAAACGTCTTCTCGCGACCGAGATGAGCGCCCAGCGGGGCATCATGAAACGCATGGATAATCCGTGAGCGCAGATCGGGGTCGTTAGGGACAACGACACGTGATGCATCGAAGTTGTCGATGCTGTACGTCAGCAGCTCGTCCTCGAGACGATATCGGTAATTTTGTTTTTGATACAGAGCGGGAAAGGGCTCCCAGTGTGTCGGTGCTGGGAGAGCGGAGATGCTCCAGGAGACTGGAGTACGTCGAGTCATGCTCGTAAGCAGCTCGGATTTCGTCTCGGAGTGGCATTACCGGGGAGACGCTCGTCAGGTTGACTCCTGACGCCTCGCACGTGGCACACTCGTCTACATCGTCCTCATCGAACGAAGCTTGTCGACCCAATGCACCGCGTGGGTCGTAGTCGGGACGCCGAGACAAAGCGTCGACGAGAATGTTGTTCTTGCCGGGCTTGTAATGGACCACGAAGTTGTACTCAGAGAAGAATGAAAGCCAGCGGGCCATCCGCTGGGAGAGATGAGGACTCTTCATCGCTGTCCTCAGCGATGCATGGTCGGTGTACACCGCGAAGGTATACTCACCCAACAAGTACACTCTGAACTTGATCAGAGCGTAGCGCATCGCAAGGAGCTCCTTGTCGTGAACAGGGTAATTGCGCTCCGCCGGCTTCAACTGTCTAAACTGGTTGCTTACGACACGCGCTCGATCTTCGTCGTCGAATTGCATCAGCGCCCAGCCGATGGCGAAATCGCTCGCGTCGCAGACGACGTGAAAAGGCTTCGAGTCATCCGGGAGCGCGAGGATTGGGGACTCGGCGAGACTCTTCTTCACCGAGTCGAAGGCGGCTTGATGTGCGGAAGTCATGTTTCTTTCACAACGAAGAGAGCGGCTGGATCAATCCGGCGTAATGCTTCGTGTACTTGTGGAGATAATTTGCGAGACCCAGCCACTGACGCAATTCAGTGGGATTCTGTGGCGTAGGCCACGCACATATCGACGCCACTTTCTCGGTATCGGTGCGGACGCCGTTCTTGCTCACAAAGCAGCCAAGCCCCGGAATCTCCGGCGCGCAGAATATGCACTTCTTCAAGTTGGCATACAGCTTGTTTTCGCGCATCACTAGGAAGACTTGCCTCAGATGCTTCAAGTGGACTTCAAGCGCGCTGAGGCCTCCCTATGTGCGACTGTGTACGAAGATGTCGTCGACGTAACTCGGTGCAAAATCGTGGAGCGGGCGAAGCACATGGGATACCATGCGATTGAACGTGGCGGGAGCATTCTTCAAGCCTTGTGGCATAACAAGCCACTCCCAGAGCATACCACTGGGAGTGCTTACCGCTGTGAGCGGTATGTCGCTCGGCCTCATGAGGATTCGGTAGAACCCATCGGTCAAGTCGATGGCACTGAAGACCTCACTACCCGACATTGCGTCGAGCACCATGTCCTTCCGAGGAATCGGCGTCTGGGTAGGGATGGTAGCGTCGTTCAGGTTGCTGAAGGCATGAACGATGCGCCACCCACCCGTGGCTTTCTTCACAGAGAAGGTCGAACTGGAGTACGGCGATGTGCTCTCACGCACATGACCCGCCTTGCGGCGGCTCTCGAAGAAGTCATCGTTAGCTTGGACCTGATCCCGCGGGGGCGGCCACTGCCGCGTCACACAATACTTCGAGCCGGGCACGAGATCGATCTCGTGGTGAATTCCTCGGTCAGCTGGTAGCTCAGCTGGGATCTTATCCGGCTATTATGACTCGTAGACTGGATTGCCGGATCTGCGTAGCGCTTCCCAAGATTGCGCTGCGAAGCGCTCCTCGCGGGCCGACTTCGGTTCAGCGCTCTTTGGGCGCGAGGGAGCGTCGTCGTCACTACTGCATTCACTTCGAGCGACGCCGAGTCGGCGTCGGTGGTCAGGCAGACGTGTTCGATTTCATCGTCCTTGAGGCCGCGAAGGAAGTTCTTCGAGGAGAGACCTGGAAGTCGAGTGATCGACCCCGCCTCTCGAGGTGGCTTCGCAAGATCGAGTGTTCGTCGGCGACCGGAGGTACCTTCCACATACTCAACCACGCAGACCGACTCCGTCAGTGAGCTGTCACTTGGTACGGGCTCTCGGCGAGGTTTCAGCTGGCGCCGCTTCGACTTCCTCTTTCGCCGCCTCGAGTGCGAATTGAAGGATGATGAGTCGCTCTCGCTGGACGAGATGTCACCCCCCTCTAGCGGGAGCCCCTGGTCGACCGCGGTAGTGTTCAGCGAGAGCGACACCTGCTCGACCGCCAGTTGGTCTTTATCCTCGCGTCGCCGCGTAGAATCGTCAGTTAACAGCACTGTGCAAGCCATGCAGAGAGGGCCATCGCTCACTCTGTGCACAACGTTCATCGTGGATGACCGGTCCACGACGGTGACGTGAGGCCAATCCTTATGGGCAACCAGGAGGTGCGTGAACACCTCACTCACATCATCATCAGTGAGGCATTTGACCGACCGGGCCAACCAGCCAATCTCTGGTTGATAGTGCGACAGCCACGGCATACCCAGGATGCTGTCAAACGCGTAATTCATCTCAATGACGAAGAAGCCGTCGTTGCTTCGGAAACCGTCGAACGTGTACGGAAGTGTAATCTCGCGCCGCGCAACGCGGCGTGATTTCCCATCGGCCAACTTACCAGCGACCCCCCCTCTATCTTTGCGGACAGTGATGTCCGACAGGATACCGACAAGCACGACGCGCGGAAGAAGTTGTTGGTCACTCCTGAATCAAGGAGCGCTCGCAGTGGTCGCCGGGCACCGGCGACATGAAGACTGACAATGATCAATTGAATCGCTCGGCGTGGTGATGGCATGAAAGTGTGCATGCAGCACAGGAGGGCTAGGAGGTTGGGTTGCCACCGGGGGACCCGGACCCCCATTTCAGTCAATAGGGCGCCCCGCACCTACTGACCCTGACCGTTTTTTGGCTGGTTAGAACTTACGAATTCGACATCGACATTCGCAAGCACTGGAGCTGGCACGCGGCACTCCGCCGCGCGAAGACCGACCTTCCGGCAACGGAAGCAGGTGAGAGAACGACTGTTCCGAGCACCGTTCCAACGCGCTACATGACGCTGACGATTACTCGTCGCATCGAAAGCGTCGATGTCCATGGGCTCGGGCGCAGATTCCCGGGCTGAAGCAGGCAGCGCGTGAGCGTATGACGCCGCAACCACGTAGTCCTCGCGTAATGCGAGGGCAAATGCCTCTTCGAGTGTAAAGGGTCCGATCTTGTAAGGCAGTAGCGCGTCATGCCTTCGCGCATACCGAACATGAACACATGGACCTGAGAGGCCATATCGATGGGCTTCGACACGATACACGACGCTAGGTGTCGTGTCTTCTGGACGTAGTCGCGCATAGCCATTGAGCTTTGTCGAAGGGCGAAGAAGTAAGCCCGAAATCGGGATTCATCTTGCGGCGGCTCGAACGCGAGCCCAAGGTCACTCTGGAGGGTATCCAGAGTGAGAAGGCGTTGGGGTCGACGACCAACTTGCCGAGGGCCCATTCCTTGGCTTTGTCAGACAGCCGCGAGAGGAGGAAGTGGACCTTCCCGGAAGGCTCCTCGATCAATCTCGAGGCGATGTCGATGTCGATTTCTCGAAACCAGAAATTCAGCGGAAGTCGGTCTTCTTCGGCACCGGAGTAGGTGTACGTCTCCAGCTTCATGACCTCATTCGTGGAGATACGCGATGGAGTTGATACTCGCCGATTCGCATCGTCGAGCTCGCGCTCCATGAATTCTTTTGCCGCAACGCGCTGCTCGTCGGGCGTCGCTGAGCGCAGCAGCGACGTGACGACGGTTTCTCCGGACACCGCCGCCGGGCGGTGGAGAGCTTCCTACTCGATCCGAGTGAGATGGGGGAAAGCAGCGTGGTCGAGATCTTGGCATGTCGAACTTGTTCGTTGGAAGGAGTACAAAGTGCTACCAGATGTAACGGGCCAGGTATTTACTCCGTTACTTGCTTACACTAAAGTGTTAAGGAAGCTCGCAACAGGACGAATGAGTCTTAGGTTTAAGGAAAAATCAACTCTGACTTTATTTTAGGGCCAAGGCCACAGCCCTGGCCACTCAAATACACGTCATAGTCCAATTGGCTGATAATGGGTCTGGCTCCCCACATATAAGCCAAAGGCATGGCAGCATTTCAGCACACGACTAGCGTGTGCTGATGCACCTACTTATGTAAAGAAATCTACCTACTTATGTAATGGAGGGGACCATTACAGCGACACACTGAGCGGTAGTGGTATTGTGCTTTCGGCCAAAATTTGCCTTTTTCGGGCGGAAGGTTGAATACCACATCGAATCCGCACGCTGCTTGGATTGGTCAAAAGAAGTTTTTTATCGCTTCTTGCTGGGTTTCCGACAGGTTCGTACGAAGGCAGTACTCTCCTCCCGTTGTTTCGGTGCGCTAGTTATTAGAGTTTTACGTGTATTTGCAACCGATTTACCAATTGGAATACCTCGTAGAACACTGGCCTCCTCGAAGATGGAAGAAGCTGTCACGCGACAGCACGCTCACCCCAACACAGTTTTCCACTGCCTCTACCGATTTTACTGCCTTGGATATTCGCGTGAGAAGCTTGCTCACATATATCACAAGACATTGAGGACCATCGGGAATTAAGTAAACGTGTACGAGCGAACAGGGAGTACCAGCGGGCAAACGCTAGCGCTACAAAGAAATTCACGGCGGATCATCGGCGGTGGCTGTGCAACTACTACGCGGACTACCCATTGGCTTACTTGGATGAAGCCCGTGATGCATTCGTGCACGCGCATCAAACCCGCATCTCAACATCATCTGTGTGGCAGATTATTCACGACGAAGGCCTCACGAGGAAAGTTCTCGAGCGGCAAGCCATGCATATCAAAGAGCTGGACGTGTTCCGGTTTGCTGAAGAGCTCAGTCACGTCAACTGGTTCTACAGCAGCGTTGTCCTCCTCGACGAAGTATCATTTGACAACCGTGGCATGATACGAAAACGGTGGTATTCACAGAGGGCAGTCCATCGCAATCCGTGGTGATTTCTAGCGTAAGCCACGAGTCTCGGTGCTGGCATTTATGGGGTCACCGGCATCATCGATTACTACAACACTGAAGGAACCTTTGATCGTGTCCAGTTCTTCACATGCTGTCGTGATTTTGCGTACTCAGCTCGCGGACATGTACGCCAGTACCCTGGTTCAAATTCTGTTTGGATCATGGACGGTGCGTCGATTCATCGTGGTCTCGAGATCATTCATTTTCTTCGGAGCATTGGCATTGTCCCAAATTTTTCTGCCGGCTTACTGCCGATTCTTCAACCCAATTGAGCTCATGTTTGGGTACATCAAGCAGGCGCTCAAGCGGTATTACAATGCGTTGAGCGGCAACGACCTCTTGCCTTTTGTAGTTGAAACGTTCGAGCGATATGTAGGGTTTTACATGTCTAGCGTTTTTTACCATTCTGGTTGGAGGCGGCAGGGTTATTTTGACCCCTCTGGGCCAATGCCAAAGGTGACGCGGCAAACTAAAAATCGTGGGAGCAGCAGAGTTTGTGCGCGCGAGGAAGATGAACCATTAGATTTTACGACGAGGGAACTAGATGAGTCGGAATGCTAAGCGCAAACAAACAGTTACTGCAAAATTACTCTTGGTGCTCGATGTCTTCAATGTTCTCCAATCATTGAATCGGGCCATGCACATCGTCAACAGCAGGAAGCGGGATATCCGCTAAATACCCCTCGAGAGTCACCTTGTGCGCTTCCAACACGCGATTTTGGGATGCTAATCGGCGCCCGTAGGCCTCCCAAGCGTCCTTGAGCTTTTGGTCGTCCACCAGAGCAGCTTTAACGGTATCAAGTGCCACACGCGTGGACCTAGTCAAGTGCACAAGGTGTTCGTGGACTTGCCCGTCTGATGGGCTGAGATAACGGTCCAGTCTCAAGGGTGGGGGGTCTAGGACAGAAGCATCCCATGTGGAACGATCCAAGTTGCGCGGGATTTCGTTGGCCCACGTTCTCCATGTCGAATAACTACCTTGGTATGTATTGCCCCAGACGTCTAGCAAACGAGTCACCATTTCACGAATTAAAACTTATGCTGTAGCACCTGAACGGTCAGTTTGCTGTGGGCGAATGCAGGCCTGCATGAACTCGTCCAGGATTCGTGAATTCGGAATACTTAAACCGTACTCGTAAATAATTAACGTCACCGTATTCCCGCGTTGAGATCCCGTCCAGTGGTCCCATAGTTCAGGAGACTTGGCAGCTGGGACCAGCCGGCCGTTGGCCTTGAACTGCATCACACCGCTCCACGCTGATTTTGCAGGTCTTTTAACTGACCACGCATCAGCAGTCTTTGTAGCATGCCCCTTGACGTGGCTGCTAAACCTCTCCCACAAGTTGTGCATGATATCACTAAAGGAGGAATCATTGATCGCAAAAATGTTCAGTTGCTTGCCTGAAGAATCGCGCTGTCCGACAGTGTTTTTGACAGTTCCGTGGACTACCAGCTGCAGACGATGCTGGTCGGTGCTCTCAGGCGAAATATCTAGCGATACACGCACTCGCGCACTTCTTGAAGTTCCTGGAGTTGGAAATTGTTGCGGCGGGGTCCTCTCACGCAAATGATATTGAGAAACACGAGCTGTTGACGATGAGGTCGAGGGTGGTGTTCTGTGTTGCATACAGCTGTAGGTAGTTGTTGATCTAGGCCGTCAGTTTTGGAAGTGAGATGGCATCGGCCATCTCTCCATTACATCCCTCAGCTTCACCTATCTTAGTGATGGGGCACGCGGCCTCTTTCTTCTTGAATGGCTAGGACGAGTTGCTGCCATCGCAACCAATAGCAGAGAGCTACACCATTATTGACCTATCATTTTACTTCATTTCTCTGCATACAAACTGAATGACATTGCGGCACAACACTCCCACTAAAGATGCTCACGTTCTCCATCATTTCTTCGTCACTTAACGTCTTCTCATTGTCACTCAAGATCCTTCTCGAGGGATGGTTTGTTACCACCTTGGTCCCAGATTTGCCTTGTCGCAGAGCCCAAAATCTGATCCAATACTTTATCTTATATTCTAAAGAGACTTACTCTTTGTATTGTTTGTTGCCGATATTGGACTGAGCTCTTCACTCTCTCTTTTTCTTCCGAACTGCACAGGTGCGGGTCCCGACGAAAGCCCTTCGGGGGGGCATCCACAAGCTGCTTATATCCTTTTTCGGCGACAGCAGACCGGCCTAAGCCACAGCGGCCATTCAGGTCCCGGCCTTTTGGCACCTCAAACGGTCAGCCAAGCGCCCATGATGTGAGCTCTGCAAGTAGAAAGTGTGATCATTCGGCTACTCGTGGGTGTCTAGTCTTAGACCAGTTGTGCCCTTTCAGCGGCGGGAATTGAGAGAGTCAGGAGTGAAATTAACCGAAAGTTTGAGTAAAATGTACTCAAGAGCAAGTGGCTAATAGCCTGGACCTGTTCAATTTCCAAACTTAGGGCTAGGTGACCATTAAACTTAAGGTTTTAACTTTAAAACTAGTCTGTAACCAGAACCCTTTCCTTAAGGCCTTCCTTTACTGTAATCCCTTTCCTAAACTTCTTAATAATTCCCTTAAATTGACAAGAACTTGTGTTTACACCAAATGACCGTCAATCTTTTATTTGAGGGACCTAACCTTATTTGAGGCGTAAAACTAAATTTGAGGCTGATGATTAACCCAACTCTTTTATCCCCATCATAGATCTGAGTTTTTCAAACTGTGTTTGGCTTAATGGCTTCGTAAGGGCATCAGCCACCATGTCGTTGGTGCTACAGTAATTCACAATGATACTTTTGTCCTCATGTTTGTCACGGGCATACAGATGCCTGATATCAATGTGCTTGGTAGATGAGGGACTGCAAGGATCCTTAATGATACTTATTGCGGCAGTATTATCACACCAGCATTGGGTGGGTAGTACTTCGCCGTAGCCTAATTCTTTCAATAGTAGCCTCAAATACATCGCCTCTCGAACACCTTCACTGGCGGCTACTATTTCAGATTCTGCTGTATGAATACTAATACAATCTTGCTTAATACTTTTCCAAGAGATGCATGCACCAGCAAGTATTGATACATATCCTGTGATTGACTTCCTTCCTTCAGATGCATTCGCGAAGCTCGCGTCTGTGTATAGCTCTAGCTTAGTGGTACTATTTCCATTGTACTCAATGCCATACTTCGACGTTCCTTTCAAGTACTTTAGTACTCGCTGAGCCGCCCTCCAATGGGTCTTATTATAGCAAGATAGATATTTACTAAGCTCTCTTACAGCATTAGCAATATCAGGTCTAGTACCTCGGACAAGATACATCAGTGAACCCACTAAACCTCTGTAATCGAATGGTTGGGCCGCTATCTGTTCTGGGTTCATATCCTTTTCCTTTTCTAATATAACACTTTTCGCTTGTGGTGTGGGTTCTGTACTACAGTCTCGCATTTGATACTTTACCAGAAGATCGTTGATGTACTTCTGCTGTGAGATTCTGAGTGTTTTCTTCTGTGAATCTCTTTTGATCTCCATTTTTAGCAGGTAATGCAACTCGCCCAAGTCTTTCATTGTAAACTTTGCAGACAGTTTAGCCTTCAGATCGCTGATCGAGCTCAGATGTGAGCCCGCAATTGTCAGGTCGTCAACATAGACGCATATGATCAGAATGTGTTCAATCCCTTTGATATCCCACCGTTTTAGATACAAGCAATGTTCTTTCTTGCATCTAAAAAATCCTAAGCTGGTAAGAAACTCATTTAGAACGGCATACCAGATTCTGGGTGCCTGTTTTAACCCATACAGGCTTTTCTTCAACCTACATACAAGGTGCCCAGTGCCATGACGAAATCCCAATGGCTGCCTCATATAGATACTTTCATGTAGGATACCATTTAGAAAGGCTGTAGATACATCCATTTGGTGTAGCTCCAGTCCTAGAATTGTGGCCAATGCCAACAGCACCCGCAAAGACTCATAGCGGGCCACGGGAGCGAATACCTCCTTGTAGTCGATGCCATATAGCTGTGTGTTACCCTGAACAACCAGCCTAGCCTTAAAGCGGTCAACAGACCCATCTGCATGGTACTTGACATCAAACAGCCAGTAGCACCCAAGGGCTCTGCGTCCATTAGGTAATGGTACAAGTTCCCATGTATTATTACTCAAAAGGGCATCATATTCTGCTTTGATTGCAGACTCCCACTGTTTAGCGTAAGGACTTAGTCGCGCTTCCTTAATCGATTTCGGAACAGGGATTCTGTCCGGCTTATCTGACGCTACAAGATTTAGCTGGGTCACGTAGTCACTAAGCCTTACGTTGCGTGTTCGCTGCCGTTTTGATCGACGGACGTCACTGGTAGCCTGTCGCTTATCTCCTACTAGTCGGGATGTCGGTGGGTCAGTGACCGGTTCTGAGCTTTCGTCAGCCGGCACTTCACCTGCAACTGTGCCTCTTGGTTGTTTGCCTAGCTGACCGATAGCATGTACCTCTTCGTGATCAATGCTGGAGTCCTCATTGGGAAACGTGCGTCTGATCATAGCAAGTCAAACTAAACTTCACATCTCTCGCTATAAGATACTTGTTCGCCTTCACATCAAGAAGACGGTACCCTTTGTATTTTGGTGAAAGTCCCAAAAGCTTGCACTCAATTGCCCTATCACCCAGCTTTGAGTCCTTCCTTTTTGTTTTAGGAACATGTGCAAAACACTTTGAGCCCCAGATCCTAAATGCTAAACCACTGGGTTGTTTCCGATGTAACAGCTCATACGGGATTTTCATCCCGAGCCTCGCCATAGGTAGTCGGTTTGTAATATCGACAATATAGAGTAGAGCTTCGGGCCACCACTTTGCTGGCATATTGGCCCCTCGAAGTGCACAGCGCACACCAGCCATCATGGTTTGATGTTCTCTTTCAGCACTCCCATTTTCTTCTTGGGATTCGACGTTAGAGCTTTGGAAATCTAGACCGAGTTTAGAACACAGTTTAGAAACCTCACTGTTTAGGAACTCAGTCCCACCGTCTGTCCTAATTCTGCGAACCTTAAATAAGGGAAACTGTACTTCCAACTGTTTTAAGAGGGTCCGGATTTTGCCTCGAACCTCTTTCAAGGATTTTACTGCAAAATACCACTTATAGGCAGTGGCATCATCTACCACTGCAAGGGCATACCGATAACCGAAGGAACCATACAGTCCATTAACCCTCAACCTTCCAGTAGAGTCCATGTGCAGAGTGTGCAATGGCTCTGTTGATTTGTTTCCTATCAAATTCCTGTAGGACATTCTGCGATCCTTCATT